CACAAAAAACTGTGAAAACTTATTGACTCGAGTATAAGCCTAGGGTGGGAAATGCAGCAGCTACTGGTAAATTTCTAAATAAAATTAGATCCCAATAAAATTACATTAATTGAATATTTATTTACAGTGTGTATAGAATGAATGCAGAGTGTGTGTTTGTGTGTGTATATATAATGAATGCAGGTTGTGTGTGTGTAAACTGGATGAGGGGAGGGCATTTTTATTTTAATTTTATATTATATTATTATTTTAATATTTGCATTATTTTTTTTTTAAATGTTTTTTTTGTCCCCCCTCCCTGGCCAGGCAACAAGCAGGGAGGGGGGCCAAAAAAACATTTTAAAAAAAAATAATGCAAATATTAAAATAATAATAAAATAATATTTTATTTTATTATTATTATTAAAATAAAATATTAAATCCCTGGTGGTCCAGTGGCATTGGCAGTTCAGCTCCTGTCAGCTCCCTTCTCCTCCGTGCAGCTCCCCTGTCAGCTCCGTTCTGTTTACAGTGTAAGTCTCGCGAGACCCATTTACACTGGGTGGTGTGTAACCTCCAAACGAAAGCCAGCACTCAAGGACTTGAACATGAAAAAATATAGGCTTTTAATCCAAATCGTCAACTGTTCAGTTCATAGCAGTGAACTTTCCTCAGGACATAAATCGCATATCATAAAACATTGGCTTAAATAAGGAAGACTAACTTACCAAACCTCCATCACCTGTGTGCTGCTCCCCTGTATGCAGGGCCGGATTAACATAGGGGCTGATGGAGCTGCAGCTCCAGGCCCAGGCCCAGGGAATAGGCCCATTGATTTAAAAAAAATAATAATATTTTTTTGTTTTTACTTTTTTTTTTTTTTTTAACACACTACTCTTAGGGATTCCACCTGGCTTTTATTTTATTGGCACAGACAGTATTTGAGGCTGCCTGGCTGGTGCCAATATTGTAGTGATACTGGCAATACAAATGTTGGTATTTTTCTCAGTATAAATGGAGATTACTCTGCAATACCAGCACTGGCCAGTAGGGGTCGCTGTGTGTGGAGAGAGGCAGGGATAGGAAGTTCCAGCATATCCCTCCCTGCCTATCTATACTCACTGATCTGCAAGGGTGCAGCTACAGAGAGTCCAGACAGCAACTCCCACCCTGCAGAGACAACCTACAGCTCAGGGAAGTAAGGGATGGGGGAAAGGCTGCAAGGAGACATACACTAAGACACTAAGGGACACTGGGAGACATTATGACACAGACACATGGGTACACAGTGTCCCCATGTCTCCCAGCCAGTGTCCTTGGTGTCTCAGTGCCCCCTAGTCTCCCAGTGTCTCACGGTCCCCATGTCTCCGAGTGCCTCCATGTCTCCCAGTGCCTCAATGTCCCCATGTCTCCAAGCTAGTGTCCCTAGTGTCTATGGCCCTGGTGTCTCAGTGTCCCCATGTCTCCCAGTGCCCCCAGTCTGCCAGTGTCTCATTGTTCCCATGTATCCTAGTGCCTCTATGTCTCCAAGTGTCTCAATGTCCCCATGTGTCCAAGCTAGTGTCCCTAGTGTCTGTGGCCCTGGTGTCTCAGTATCCCCATGTCTCAATGTCCCCATGTCCCCCAGCCAGTGTCTCTAGTGTCTGTGTCCCTGGTGTCTGTATCCCCATGTCTTCAAGTTTCCCCTATATTCCGAGTGTCCCCATATGTCCCAGCCAGTGTCCCCTAGTCTCCCAGTCTCACTGGTGTCTCCGTGTTCCTAGGTCTCCCCGTCTTCCTAGTGACATAGGGAAAGACACATGGGAATACTTGAAGACACAGGGAGAAATGGGGCATTAAGACACTGTGATACATAGGGACACTGGAAGAGATGGGGACACGACACCAGGGGACACTGGGAGACATGGGGCAATGAGACACTGATACATAGGAACACTGAGACCTGGAGTAATCGACACATGGGGGCACTGGGAGGAATCCATCTATACAGCAGAATCAAACTAAGTAGTTTTTGGTGATTTTACAGCATTTTCTCTTATGTCACTCCTTGTGATTTACATCATGTGATGCCACCCATACATATTTAATTGTGCAAATTAGTAAGGCCAGTATGTTTTTCCAAGAAAAGTGGCAACCCTAACTACTTTTCACATACTCTTACTTAAGTATGGAAACTTAAGAGGGATGTATTTGAACAAAACTTGTGTGGACTGGCTGACAATGAATATAGTTAAAGGGACACTATAGTCACCAGAACAACTACAACTTATTGAATTTGTTCTGGTGAGTAGAATCATTAGCTTCAGGCTTTTTGCTGTAAACACTGTCTTTTCAGAGAAAATGCAGTGTTTACATTACAGCTTAGTGATAACGTCACTGGCCACTCCTCAGATGGCTGTTAGAGATCCTTCCTGGGTTATGGCTGCCTAAAATGCATCCAAACATTCAGTATCTCAGGACATACTTGAAAACGAGAGAAATCTCAATGTATCTTTCCTGGTAAAATATTTTATAAATAAAATAAAATAAATAAATAAATCTCCTCCCTCTGCATGCAGACACTGAACTTTCCTCATAGAGATACATTGATTCAATTCATCTCTTTGAGGAGATGTTGATTGGCCAGGGCTGTGTTTGAATCATGCTGGTTTTGCCCCTGATCTGCCTCTTTGTCAGTCTCAGCCAGTCCTATGGGGAAGCACTGTGATTGGAACAGGCCACCACTTCTAATGATGTCAGGAGACTGCTTGTTTTTCTGAGTCTAACAGCATGCAGAGTTACAGCTTCAGGCTTGAATACAGTAAGATTTTGCTATATTTATGGAGGCATGAGGGGCCCAGGGGGGCTAGATGGTGATGTTAACACTATATGGTCAGGAATTCATGTTTGTGTTCCTGACCCTATAATAATCCTTTAAGGTAATGCTGACTTTGGACTCTCTAACACTGTGGCATGTTCCCTTCCTTCTACACTCACTACATACAGCTTTCTCTGTCCCAGACGATCTACCAGGAGCTTCTGCCTGCTAGTAAGAAGGTAAGGAGACAAGTGGACCAGCGAGTGCTAGGGGACAGTCCTTAGAAAGTGTTGAGCAAGCGCATCATTAGATGCAAGCTCAGGGTGCTGTCTGCTTAGTATGCCCTTACTTGGCCAGTGGCATGATTGGCAGGCAGTCTGACATGCATTCCTGCCAGGCTGGCCTTCTAATTCTTTGGGCAGACATGTCCTCTTTTTGGGCATGTTCGCCCCTTTTGTCAGGTTACGTGATTTGTGTCAGTGGCACACCTTTTTACTGTGCCCATTGACTTCCTGCTTGATTGGACGTTGCTGTTAGGGTTCATGGATTTACTTGAAAGATGAAAACATAAATTAGAGGGAGATTAGCATAGGGTATGTGTTTTCTTATAGCTGCTGTTTTCTTTCTCTCCAGCACCATCTCCATCAGATACATGACGTTTGGGAGTGTTTTACTGTTTTTGGTCGATATGATTCTGTAATTAGGCCCGTCATAATTGTCAGCACCAGGCCCACTGGGCTCTTAATCTGGCACTGCCTGTATGCATGCTTGTGATCAAACTCCTCCCCCTCTGATGTCACAACATCCGGATTGTACCGGGCCCATCATCATAGTAACATGTACACAAATCGCTAAGCGGAACGAAACTCCATGTGTGGAGAAATAGAAAGCTGATGAGAGACAGATAGACGAGTGTCTAAAGTATGGAAAACAATGATTGGTATTGTGAGCGATCATATAGTGGATGCAATATGCATAAGTACTTGATGACTTAAAAGATATATAAATGGGCAGCACATAGACCCGAAAGTGACCATTAAAGTGCCAGTGCTTATTATGTAGAAGAAATAGAAATCACCAGGTGGCGATAAAGTACAAGTGCCTAACGATAAATAGAAATAGTGTGAAGTGCTGTATGCAGGAAATACAATGATGTATAAGTTGTGTGCAAAACAAAATCGAATAATGGGATGCTGTAATACATAAGATAGAAATGCAGGATAACTATACATTAAATAAGTGACTATATACAAAATATAAAAAAAAATTACAGTCTATGTAAAAGCACATCCCATGTTAGCTTCTTAGGTCACTAAAAGAGCAATATATTTAATTAAACCACTTTAATTAGCATTAAGGGAGAGGGATTGCAGATAATCTTATTATCAATATATATATATATATATATATATATATATATATATATACAAATCCCATTACTCCGATGGTAGTATTATAATTTATAAAGCCCTAAGTCTCAAATTAAGCTAGTGGTCTGCTAGAGATCCACGGGTAGTGCATATAGGAAACAAGCAATTAAAAAACTAGAGAGATAACTATCCAAGAGAATTAAATGAATGGCATAAATGTTAATTTTTCATTAAGACCCATAGGCGCTATGGTGTTAAGTTCTCGGATCCAGAAAGTATCTCTTTACAATAATAAAGAAGAGCGATCCCCTCCTCGTCTGGATACTGGAACATGGTCTATTCCGATGCATTTAAGTGATGTCAGTGGGTGTTTTTGCTCAAGAAAGTGTCGTGCCACTGGTTTATCTGTATTGCCATCTCGAACCACCGTTCTAATGCTAGAATGATGTCCCTTATTCTTTTACATAATTGTGTGTCTGTCTTACCGACGTAACTCAATCCACACGGGCACAAGAGTTTGCAAATAACGTGATCTGTTTTACAAGAAATACAGTGTTTAATAGAATATTTATTTTGAGTGTGGGGATGAATAAATGACTTAGTGGGAATGAGGTGCCCACATGTAACACACCCAAGACACCAGAAGCATCCAGGTTTAAGAAATTTACTTTGATCCCGCAGGTAGCTTTGTTCGGGGTCAGTGCGGACTAACAAGTCTTGCAAGTTTCTCTCTCCTTTGTAACATATCAACGGTTTATGAGAAAACACTGTTGGTAGAGTTGGATCTCCGGTTAAGTTTACCTTCACAGCTTGCGACAATTTGGTGCTGGCTGAGTGGAATTTCATAGTGAAGGTCAATCTCTATGTCTTAGGTTGGTTGGGTGTTCCAGGTACTTCTTGCATTGATTGTCGTGCTTTATGTAAAGCTGCATCGAGTAGGGGTTATAACCCCTAGTGAGAAACTTGTTATACATTGTTTCGACTTGATTTTCAATGTATTTGTTAAGGGAGTTATTCCGAAATACTCTCAAGAATTGAGTATAGGGTAGAGATTTTTTAATGTGTTCTGGGTGTGCACTGGTGAAATGAAGGATAGTGTTCCTGTCGGTAGGTTTCGAGTAGAGTTGGTATTCAATTTTGTTGTCTTTGATGAAGATCTCAAGATCCAGATATTGAACAATTTTCTCATCAATATTAGTGATTTTAATTGGACTTGGTAGGTTGGTAATATCCTGTATAAATTGTTTGACATCTACCACAAAGCCCCTCCAAAGAATCAAGATGTCATCGATGAAGCGTACATATTTAATGATCTGTTCCGAGTATGGTTGTAGAATATGTTGTTCCTCAAATACGTGCATGTATGCATTTGCATACATGGGCGCCATAGCAGTGCCCATAGATGTTCCTGATCATTGCATATACCACCTGGTCTCAAATCTAAAATAATTGCAGGGATCTGGTCAGGAGCTTGATCACACGCATGTGCACAGGGGAGCAGCATACAGGTGATGGAGGTTTGGTAAGGTAGTCTTCCTTATTTAAGCCAATGTTTTATGATATGCGATTTATGTCCTGAGGAAAGTTCACTGCTGTGAACTGAAACGTTGACGATTTGGATTAAAAGCCTATATTTTTTCACGTTCAAGTCCTTGAGTGCTGGCTTTCTTTTGGAGGTTATATTCTTGTGAAGCTGAGCACCGGGACAAAATTTAAAGGAGAGCTAGAGTGCAAAACTTCTACTAAACTATATGTATATATATATATATATATACACACACACACACACACACGTTACCACTCATGAACACTTAAATATATCCTGCAGATAAAACAAAAAACAGGATAAACAACATAGGGTAATAATGTTTAAAATGTTCGAAACCCATAATAAAAGTACATAAAACATATAGCGAAATATCCCAAATCTCTGTCAATGTGGGAAATATCTGCCTAGAAGATCATATCTCACAGTGGAATATACTCTTATTTAGGAGTTAATATACATATATATGCAAATGAGAAAAATAGTCACTCAAAGAATGAAATCCAAAAGCTGAATGAAACAGACTTAAATGCAAATAAAGTCACTTCGGCTAGAAACTTAAAGGAGACATAGAGGTTCTAACTAGTTGTCTCAATAACTATCTCTAGCTCTCCTTTTTCTTAAAGGAAAAGTGTCACAAATAGAGACGTGGGGGATTAGCCTAAAAAAAAGACATAATTCGAACTCTGCATTTAGTCTGTTTGGTTGTAATGGATCTAAATTGTAGATCCATTTCATTTCCTCTAATCCCAGTTGTTTTTTCTGATCCCCACCTCTCCAATTTTTCTTCACTTTACATATAGCCTTGAAGTTAAGGAGACTCATATCCGATTAGTATTGGTATTGCTCAAAGTGGGCTGATACGGTGTGTTGTAGATACTTCTTTTTGATGTTCAACATATGTTTCCTAATTCTAATGTATAGTTTCCGTTTTGTCCTCCCTACGTACTGGAGCCCACGTGGGCACTCCAGTACGTAGATCACATTAGTACTTTGGCACGTGATGAAGTCCTTAATCTTAAAAGTTTAATTTGACTTGCTTGAGTTTCTTTTTGGAATCTCATATACCCCTTTTGTCAGTTTTTCCTTACTGGTTCTGCAGGCAATACAGTCCTGACAGTAGAAGAATCCTTTTTTCTCTGGTCCTCCAGATATTTCCCACATTGACAGAGATTTTAAGGTATTTTGCTATATGTGTTATGTATTTTATTTAATGGGTGGCTAGGTTCCCTATTGTTTTACCCTTTCTCTCATCTGCTATACATATTGAGCAGTTGTATTTGGGGCTCCACTTATACGGACTTCATTTCTATAATAAAAGTAGTCTCACTCACATGGTCATGAGCCATTCAAGATAAGCTGGCTCAGACTAAGGGCATTTGAATCAATACAGGTGATCTCAAGGTGCCAGACTGTCTTCTCCGTGTTGTCCTTATGATGTTTTTTCACAGATACGCCAGGATGCAGGATATCAGCAAAAATAAATGTATTGGACAAAACTATTCAAAAGAGTCAGCCTAAAATCAAATCAAAGAGTCCACTATACATATGATTAGGTACTTGACGCGTTTCGGCATTAGCCTTTTTCAAAAGTCCGTTCTCCACCTTCTACAACTAAATCTTTACATATGCCAGTATTGGCGCCTTTTTTCATCCGTGAAAACTCCTCCTACTTCCGTTTTCAGCGCCAGGACTGCATCTTCCATCCAGGCATCCTTTCCATCTGGTTTCTGCTTACATCATTGGTGATGTCATGATTCTACCCTTCGCATTTGCATCATGATGTGTATCGGGCGGGATGAGGTCACACGTTCCTTCTTGCCAAAAATATATATTAAAGAATATATAACCAATTAAGAGAACAAACCACTTATGTGGAACTCCCCAATAATCCCTTGATGGGTGTGCGTGGCTAGCCGTCGAATGGAATGGCCGCATGTTGAGCAAGCTCCCGGCATCACAGGCCCAGGATAACTATTTTAGGAGGTAGACAACAGAATGGGGAACCACAAAAAGCTCCAGAACTCACAGACAGGCTCGGGGAAAACTCCAGCCGGGAAAGCAGGCAAGCTGTTCAAAGATTATGCCAACCGTGCTCCAGACCCCGCAGAATCCAACATGGCGCAGGCGGCCCTCGCGGCGGACTCCAACCCTCTGAGCCCGGCATCCTAAGACTACTTCATGGACCTCAAAGAGATCCTACGCAGCCTACCTTTTAAACAATGACTTGGCATCCATGCTGAAAAAGCTGGAAACCTCGTTCCAACACAAGCTGGAAAGCATCAGCACTGACATAAAGCAGGTCAAAGACCTGGAGGACCTCAGGGTCAAAGACCTGGAGGAAGACAGAGGATCTATGCAGGCCCAATTACTAGCACTGACCTCCAGACTAGATCTACCTATTCTAGATCCAACGCTCCCTAGACGATGTAGATGTAGGCAGGAGAAATAACCTCAGGATCAAGGGGTTACCTGAAGCTGATAACAAGGACCTCACACTCACCCTGAAAGAACTGTTCAATCTAATTCTGGGATGGGATGCGGGCGCCACCCTGCTACTTGACAGGGCCCATCGCTCATTAAGGCCCAGAGATAACGCAAGAGAGGCCCCACGAGCCGTGCTATGTCGCCTACACTACTACTCGGTGAGGAGATAGTAAAAGCACCAAGAGGCACTGGCTCCCCACTCTTATTCCACAAAAGCGAAATTCAGGTATTCCCAGATCTATCCTGGCCTGGAGGGCACTCAGGTCCATAACTGACCAGCTCAGAACGCGCAATATTAAATATCGCTGTGGCTTCCCCTTCTCACTTGCAGTCTCCCACAGAGGCACGACGCATACGATCTTGACACACCAAGACTCACCCATGCCCTGGAACTTAGTGCGGTACACATCCCTGACTGGTATGCCCCAGGCCCAGCTCACCTACAGGGCCAAACGCTGCAGAGACCACAAAGGCAAAGGTGGCGCACTCCTATGAAAAAAAGGAGAACGGAAACACCCAAAAACTCAGGCCGCACATATAAACGCCCACCAACTGTAAATAAGGACTAAAGCGAGGACTTCGGGGGACATACTAAAAGGAATGACAGATTGGAATGCCCATAGACTTTAACAAGGCAGTGGAATGCCCATGGAGAATAATGGAAACAAAATATTTCAATTAGAGACAAAATTATTACACATATGAAATACATCTTTTGCCACAATACTCTCCAGATTCAGTGTCAATTTTTTGAATAGAGATTAAGTGGGATTATCATTGTTTTCTATAGAATGACAATGGCGAATGACTAAAGAGAATGCCCATAGACTATAATGGGAGGCAACACATAAACTAATTCACAGGTAAATCTGTGTTATGTAGCAAATTTATCTTTACCACATGTGTTCCCCAAGTACAGCAGTAGATTCTAAAATTAAAAATAACTGGTATTATAGCTCTGTTCTATGGAATGACAGGTAAATGATACAATGGAATGCCCATAGAGTATAGTGTATATCAACTCTTTTGTAAGGAAATCTGAAAGACATAGCAAGTTAAACATTAGACAACTTAGACTACAGCATTTAGCCTACTACTACAGCCCCTAACCCTCAATTGCAGCCCACACACCCTACTACAGCCCCTTCACCCTACTACAGTCCTTTAGTCCCCACTACAGCCCCCATACTCTACTTTAACCCATAACCCCCTACTACAGCCCTGTAACAAACTACCCTTCTCCATTGGCTTTTGGAGAGGCCTTCTTGACAGCCTCTTGCCCTGTGACTATGGCCCCTGGGGTGTATTGCCCTTTAAAAACTCTATTTGTGCCTATTGTATTTTGGAGCACTGTTTCTGCCCCTTTAAATGGTACTGGTACAGTTCTGCACTTTTTAAGTGGCACTTCGGATGCAGCTGAAGTGCCGAAGTAGCCGCCATTCGACATACGAATACGTGGCGGCAGCCATTTTAATTCAGTTGAACGCGTTCAGCAGTGTTTAGTAGTGATGTACCGAACGGTTCGCTGGCGAACGGTTCCCGGCGAACATAGCATGTTCGCGTTCGCCACGGCGGGCGAACATATGCACGGTTCGACCAGCCCCCTATTCGTCATCATTGAGTAAACTTTGACCCTGTACCTCACAGTCAGCAGACACATTCCAGCCAATTAGCAGCACAGCCTCCCTAGCAGACCCTCCCACCTACTGGACAGCATCCATTTTAGATTCATTCTCAGCTGCATGCTTAGTAAGAGGAGGGAAAGTGTAGCTGCTGTTCATAAGATAGGGAAAAGCATAGCTAGGTTAGGGATAAGGGTATGCTTTTTTTGGATTTTTTTTTTCTATGTAATGTAAATGCACTTAGTTGTCTGCCACTGCTGCCAGCTTCTGTGTCAGGCTCACAGTGCCCATTTCCCCAGTCAGTACCACCAATTACATCTGGTGTCACAATAGCTTGGATTTAAAAACAAAAAACTTTTTTCACTGTTATAGATTGAATAGCAGTCAGTGTCCTTAAAGCGGGTGTGTTACGCTAACAGTGGATACGCTGACAAGTGCCACTAATTAGATCCTGTGTCACAATAGCTTGGATTTAAAAACAAAAAACTTTTTTACTGTTATAGATTGAATAGCAGTCAGTGTCCTTAAAGCGGGTGTGTTACGCTAACAGTGGATACGCTGACAAGTGCCACTAATTAGATCCTGTGTCACAATAGCTTGGATTTAAAAACAAAAAACTTTTTTCACTGTTATAGATTGTATAGCAGTCAGTGTCCTTAAAGCAGGTGTGTTACGCTAACAGTGGATACGCTGACAAGTGCCACTAATTAGATCTGGTGTCACAATAGTTTGG